ATGTCTTAAAAAGATAAAATAAGATCTCTAAGAGCTGTGGAGATTTTAAAGCTTCATTTGGGGTCCCCTCTATACCGGATGCTTTCTTCAATTTTGCATTATCAATGGCCCTTATAACCTCTTCCATAGTAATTTCATGATTCAAAAATATATTTGGGCAATAATCTGGTGTATCCATAATCATCTCAGACGTACATTTAACTTAACACGAATTATTATTATTATTATTGTTGTTATTTAAACGTGCACCATCAAAACCTGGTGGAATATAATTTCCTGAGAATAAACCTGAGGCATCTTTGCCCCATTTTCCAATTACTATTTCCTTTTTGTTTTCCGTGTCACCATTCCCCATTATAATTTCCATTGGAATTTTTTTCAATTTCTTAGGACCCAGTTTGTTTATTTCTTTCCAAAATTGTTGTGGGTTGTTACTTTTTAAATCGATCCAACTGTAATGCTTGTCCTCTTCTAAATTGCCTTTTATGGAACCGTATCCTCTTATCAAAAATAATCTGAGTTCGTGTGTATTGATCTTTAAGTTGCCTTCTGGTCAATGGATTTTACGTTTTAAAAATTCGCTTTTATCGTTCCAAAGGTTTTTAAGTTCTGCATTCCAGTATGGCTTCTTCTTACCCATATTCTTGTCTTGTTGTCATGGTCCCAATCTTGTGCAATGTTACGTCTCATGGGCTAAGTGTTTCATCACACGCATAATCTGAGCCCTTACATGGAAGGGTGGTGTGTTGGTGAGGGGTGTCTGACCGATTTTTGTGGGCTGCCTGGGCCAAAAATGCCAGGGCCGATTTTTTGTCCCAGTCCGGCACTGGGTAGTAGGTAGGTTTATTTGTCACATTACAACAAGTTGTACAGTGACATTAAGTTTGTAAGATAATTGATTTCAAAATCCTGCTGTTGGTTTATAAAGCACAGAACGGTTTATGGCCCAAATACATTTCTGATCTTCTGCTACGTTATGAACCATCCAGACCTCTCAGGTGGTCTAGGATCAGGTCTGCTTTCTGTCCCCAGAGTAAAAACTAAACCTGGAGAAGCAGCGTTCAGGTTTTTATGCTCCATATATCTGGAACAAACTCCCAGAAAACTGCAGGTCTGCTGAACCTCTCAGTTCTTTTAATTCAAGACTCAAGACTTCTTTTTACCACTGTCTTTAATTAAATCAAATTTAAGGCTGTAGATTATAACTTACACTGCGCTGTAATTTTTAATTTCCTGTTTTATTTTATATGTAACTATCTGTGTCATAGCAGACAATATACCGTAATACAAAAGCAATCATGTAAATGGCAAACAGAAATAAACTATATCTAATGAAGCAGTTTTGAGGATGAATGCTATGATGCATATTTTTTCATACAACTCTTTTACTGATGTAATTTGCATGTCAAAATAAACATTTTCTCAAAACACTATATATTTATAAACAGTATTTTCTATTTGTCTTTGTTGCACCAGCTGCTTGTAAGCATGGATCATTTCATGTACGACTCTTTGTGACTGCAAGTCTCAATATCTTCATCACAACAAAGAAACCTGTACCTTCTGATGCTGGTGTTTAAATCACAGTTAGACTCACCAGTACAACAGGCAGTGCTCCCACCACAGAGTACAGAATTACGGGCTGGATGCGGCTGTCCTGTTCAGGTCCAGGATCCGGCTTAGTTAAAGCTGGGTCTCTGCAGATGAAGCCCTGTTGCGTCGGACTAAAAGTGTCGGTGAACTCACAGTAGTAAACCAGCATCACCGTAGCTGCCAAAATCACCACTTGGAAGTACAGCATGGTACAGGTACAAGGTCCTCAGTACTGTTACCACAATGATGGAAAATCCAACTTCCAATTACTACAGTTGTTAAAATCCAATTTTGTCAATTTCTGGTTTGTGTAACAACTCTGATGCATAATCCAGTTGAACAATTCTTTCAAAATACTCCAGTGAAAACTTAGATGTCTGTAGTGATGATGATAATTTGCCTCTCAGAGACAGAGAAAGTCCTTCCTCTTTTTGTGATTCTGTGAGAGGGAAACCTTGTCCTTCCGCTCCTGTGAATTTCTTGAATTATCCGACGGCAGTGAACCCGGGAATTTATTCTGTTTCACTGAACAATCTCTAAAGAGCCACTTGCAGTCTACTGGACCAGTGGACAGTAACTAAGTACATTTACTCAAATACTGGACTCCAGTACACTATTTGTAGTACTATTAGTAACTCTTACTTTTTTCCTTAGTACTTACCCCATGCAGTACCTGCGAATAGCTCTTACTAGTATTTATTGTCACTTGCGAGTTGCTCCTCAAATGTAATTCGCTTTGGATAAAAGCATCTGCCAAATGAGTAAATGTAATGTAAATATAATGTACAAATTTGAAATTCCTGTACTGTATTTTCTTTTCATGCCAATAGCCTATAGACTACTTCAACTGCAGAGGGATATATGGTAGGGGAGACCGGGGGCAACTGTGACACACTAAATTTCTCCAATCAGAAACAAGCTAGAGTGATGACGCTTAATCTGCACATGCTCAATAGGATTCTCTCTCTGCCTGTGGAAAAGGAGCAGGATCATTTCACCTCAGCAGAAGTTTTAAACAAAATACTGATTTTGAGGTATGAAAGTAACTTTTTGGATTTGCAGTATTTTTCTTCTGGTGTCTAAAGTTTAGATGACTGCAAATCTAAACTTGCATACATTTTATCTCTAGGTTATTGATTAACAATTAACACTAACAAACTATGCTTATATAGTTGTGGCTGGCGGGCATACAAGGTTTTATCATGGCTGCAATTTCGGGGGCAATTCTAACACTGTGTTACAATTGCCCCCAAGCCACATGCCAATTGCCCCCAGTGTAAGCAGCTTGTCGGTTTGTTTTGTAAATGTAAAACCATATTAAAAAAGGGTGTATTAAAATAAATGGATTTGTTCTAGTATAAACAAATCACCAATTAACATAGGCCAACATTCTTTGTATAAAATAGTGTGTTTTATATGTGTTTAACAGAAAGTGTGAATATTATACAGGCCTAAGTCTGCAAAAGTAAAGTTCCTTTCATTGTCAGTTTGTCTGTTATGTGGACTTAAAGTAGTTGATGGTATAAGACCCAGCAAAACCAAAGAAAATGACTAGTTCACTTGTAAAAAGCAATTTTATTAAGTTAGAACAGAGAGAGCCTGACATCTAAAATAATTTGAACCATTTAAAAACTCTTATGTAACATTATTAGCTGTAAAGTAATTACTTTGAGGTAGCCTAGGCTTTTACTTGAGATATGACTTATTTTTCAGTGTTACAATTGCCCCCACACACTGTTTTGCCGCCAAGGGGGCAATTGTAACACTCTGACTTCTTGCATTTAATTAAATAGTTTTACTTTTGTTCTTATAAGTGAAACTATATCAATTGTATTATTAATTAGTGCACATATGTATGTTTCTTGTATCAAAAGATGACTAGTGTATCTCAAGTAGTTTGTGAGTTATTAAGGAAAATGTAAAATATGTTACAATTGCCCCCAGTCTCCCCTACTTTTTACTTTACTACATTTATCTGACAGTTTCAGTTACTAGTTACCAGTGTTGGGAATAACTACGGGAGAGCTCGGCTCCAACTAACAAGTTGGTAGCTCAGGATGAATTATGCCTGTAGATTTCTATTTTTGGGCTTTAACGAGTTACTTTCCTTATCAGAGAGGCTGCTGTCAGATCATCCTGCGGGAGATTCAAATAATCATCAATGCCGTTATTCTGCTGTACCTCGTGCGTAAATGCGCACAGTGTCACGATCCTGTCCTGAGTTTCTTTATTTGTCAGTTCTGTATCTGTCATTAAGGTCTATGTTTTGGTGTTCAGTCCTGTCTTGTGTTCAGTCTGCCCAGAGTTAGTTTATTTACTGTTGCCTGTCTTTTGGTTTTGATCTGGGCTTCGTTCCTCCCGTCTTAATTCTGTTAACTGTCTGGTGTTCTGTCTAATCCTAGTTTCAGTGCTGCCTTGCCCCGTTATGTTGTTTTCTACTCCCTGCCTCTGTGTTCTAGTTCTGAGTTCTCGTTTAGGTTTTGTCTGTTATGATACCTGTGATAAAGTTGGTCGGTGTTTGCCTGTTGTCTTGGGTTTCTGTAATTGTCTGGGGTTGGATTCTTGTCTGATAGTGAAGACAGATGTGACTTCTTAATTACTTTGTTTGAACTCCGACACTTTCCTTAACGTAAAAAAAATAAATCGGTCAGGTGGTGAGTTTGTGAACTCACATCTCTTGGGTTCACCCTCCATTATTACTCTGCAAACCAAGGGAACGTCACTAAATACAAAATAAACACGTGAAACCAGATTGCTGTTTGAATTATTCTACAGTGAGCTCTGCTGCCCTCCAGTGTTGATACTGTAACATGATGAAAATATTAAGAAACCACCTCCACACTTCTCCATTACTGCTTTCACTCAGACTTCATGCACAGACCTGATAGGACTACCATCCTCTTGTTTCAGATGGTGGGATGCATGATTAGAAAACCCATCAGCTGCAACACTGTGTGCAGAGGCTGTGTTTCTGTGTCAACATACCTGGAAGCTGAGCCAACAGTGAGGTCCAATGAGAGACTTTAGCAACCAATTAACAGGTCTGTTGTGTCAGAAAGCAGAGCTCCATCACCTCAGACAGCCCTGCTACCCTGTAAACACATTCAATAAACACTAACAGCACATTTAAAAGAGTTATTTCAAACCGAAATTGTTTGCTTCTCCTTTGCCCACGCATCATTAAAATTAATTTGTTTATTACTGAGGCCTTAGTGAAATGCGGCGTTGTACTGGACTACATTTTTTGTCCTCTCTATTTACATACATGAGGGGGTCAGAATATTAGAAACACCTCTCAACATAATGTAGTCCAGTACAACACATTACTATATGCCCTTAATACTAAAGCACAAGATTAAATCAACACTTCTGTGACGGTGTCAACAAAAGACTTCATGGCAGAACGGTTGTCTTGGATTGTCTTATTATTCAGCCTCTGCTAGAGTCTTTCTTTGCCGATTCACATTCCCTCGTCTTGATGTCCATTACACGTGACATATTTATACTGTTATAACGTCCCAGATGTTTATCTGAACGGGTTTGAAAGTCCCACGGGATCTTAGAGCCGTCTTTATCAGCTGCCCCAGAAAAATGTATCTTGTTACAAAATATCCCTCGAATAAATGCATCAAAGTAAAATACAAAATACTGGTGGCGGAAAATACATTTGTTACCTTGGACACATGGAATTTGTACAAAATGGCAGAGCATTCAGATTTTCACAATAAGAGTTTGGACCCTACTAGAAGGAAGACCACAATGTTGAATGCTTCTGTAACTAAGCAAAACTGTAAAAACAACAATAACAAAAACACTGAAAATAGTCTTTTACCATTTGTAGAAACTTGCTCTCTGTCCAATTCAAAGACATGGCTGTTGACACCCAACAACTACAATTTATAGTCTATTTAGCTGTTTTTAATAGCAACAAACTTTCAAAATATTTCTGGTTTTAACAGCCTCGTATGTCGAATATTATTCCTGCACAGATTAGAGGAGTCTCTCAAACGGAGCTGAAGAGGGCAGGGTTGTGTTAAACCGAGCAAAAAGGGTTTCATAAGCGGTCCAGCCATACGTTTAAAGTATCTTGTTTTTTCATCTCTGTCAACAACCAATTACAAAACACTTACTCAAAAAGTAATTGAAACCACTAGTTCAAATACAAGTTAACAGAAATACTGACCACATTTATGTACATGTAAGTAAAAATATGATATATCAAATGTATGCATCTTACAATTTTAACAAAGATTAACTGCAGTAAGTTGTTAGCACACCTTTGAGTTACATGGTGCATTCATGTGCTGTTGGCATAATTGGAAAATTCACATGAACGCCCCTAAAGCCGGAAAAACAACTTGTAAAGTCTGAGTAAGTTTTGGTACACGAGTTGCCGAATTGTTGACGTCATACACGAAGAAATATGGAGGACAACATGGTTAGAAACGTTTGGTTAATGGTGTGGAATCAAGTATTGCATATATACATTTTTTTGCTAAGGTCTCATTTGTAATATGGCATTAGGTTAGTTTTTTTTGAATGCCAACAAAACGGTTTTATACTACGGAGGCAGGACATTTCTGTTTGCCCTAGTTTTTGCTGCGATAGCTTGTAATCTGTAATTAGAGTGATTAAAACAAGAAATACGGCAGTTTGATTTCTGAAATCATGGAAAGCTAAGTGTTTTTACTGATGTATAAAATGTCTTTTATTATTTTACTGCACAGTACTCGTGTCCATGTTTGCAGAGAACAGATCCAGACAGTCGTCCGGCTCTGGCGGACTGCTCGGCCCGTCACCATGGTAACAGTCAGTCTGACGGTGTTGTTCCCTCTTCCGTCTACGTTTATACACACTTGTTCTGCCCTTGTCCTTCTTTTCTTCTTCTACCTTTTCCGTCTCCAGTCTGTCAGGCGGATCTTGTAGTTCCTGTGAGACGGGGGATCTGGAATTTGTAGTTTTTGTAGTTTCTCTGTAGCCAGGGCCGATTGCAGATTCTGGTAGAACCTGGAGATAAAATAAATAATAAATGGACAGAAATCTAAGCTCCCTGCCGCTGGGCTTACATCTGCATGTTTGAATTGAATTCTGATTAACTTTTTTTTTTAAATGTAGCCATTGTTAGCAGTGTTGCACTTGATAGTCGATTAATCTTTTGGATTAATGAAACAAATAATCAAATATTTGGATTATGAAACGCACAATTTACTCAATGATTCTTCTTTAGCTATCAGCTTTTAAATTAAACAAGAGGTTGATTGAGGCAGTACATATTTTAATGAACGTTTCTGCTGCAACAACAGAAAGTTCCCCTGTACTCATCTGTGCAGCTAATCTGCTGTTAACAAGGCATATCGTATTTCTAGTGACAGAGTATCTTACTGCCAGTATACTGCAACACGCACAATATTTTCATACAAACAAATAACTTCATGTATTACATTATAGCCGAATTTACAAGAGGGGAATGATAAAGATTTTGTAGTCGACAGCATTTCACAACATTTATAAACTCGTAAAACACTGGGATTTTTTAAAGGAGTCTAGTGCTATTTAGCCCCCACCTCACGCATAAAGGAGATTTTCCACTCTTATGCAAATGACCAAATTAGTAATTAGTAGCCTCATTAGCTCTGCGGTCAGTACTCATCATACCCGGTCCAGCAGGGTACTGCTTTTAAAAGCTCTCATGCTGTGCACCATCTACTTGGAACTCCTTGCAGAGGAGCCTCCGGTTGGAGGTGTTGGTGCCTTTTGCGAAGTTCAAATCTCTGATTATGGAAATATGTACATTTTTTAAATTAGCAGGCATTTGATCAATGTATTTTATCTGCATGGAGGCGTCTTAATGTACTGGTTTTTATAGTGTGCTGTTGGTCTGCACATGTGTAAGGGTAAAATGAAAGATGTTCTGATTGTATTGTAGTTTTATTTCTGTACTGTCAGACTTGCTGTCCTGCTGCCTTTCTTGGGGTAGACGCCCTTGAAAAAGAGATTTTATCTCAATGGGTCCTCCCCTATTTTAATAACAAAAAATTGTTTCCTATTTAGAAATTGTCTGGTGCATCATTTCTGTAAAGTTAGGAGTGTAAACAGGACCGTTGTGTATAATTGCTGCTCTAAACACCATTAACAATTCTTGACGAAGAGAAACGTTACAGCTCATAACGTAAAGTAACATGGATTTAATTCATGTCACTAGCTTGCTAACTACATTATTTGTTAGTTTTACCAATCAGAGAGCCAAACAGCCGACTGACCTGTGGATCCGTCTAAGGTTCTCCTCCATCTTCTGATTGGCTATCTGAGTTAGAAAATGGATGTACTCATGTTCCACCAGGAGCTTTCCTTCGTGGCTGAGTGGAACCTCCAGGCCGTGGGTACTACGGACAGCCTAGAGGGACAAAATCACAGCTTTTACACGGTATGTAAGCAACACATGCTGCAAAGCAAAGGGCTGTTTCTACTGCATGGATTATTTAACGGATTGTGATAGTACTAGTAGAGTAACGGCAAACAAATAGTTTTCTGCACAATCCTGGAAATGGCGTTCATGTCACAAAACCTACCGTGATGATTTTCCCCGTCTTGCTGACAGTGAGACCCGAGTTCCTGAAGCCTGAGTTTATAGCCACTGAGTGCTGGAGAAGAAACCAGTGAAAGAGCAGCTTAGACCTTCATTCCCCCGGCAGTGCAGAGCCTACATACTTATGTCGTCTTCTGGACTCTTCACAGAGGAGTTAAATCGACAACACTGTAATTGTTCAACAGTAATATATATAAATCAATAAACTGTCCCTCTCACCATCAGCTGAGCATCATCCAGGCGCCTACACTGAACATGGAGCACAAAGGGCTCAAACTTCAACACTGCATCTCCACTGGACCTGGCTAGAGCAGACGTCTGAAGAACAAACACATTGTACCCTTAGTACTATTAAATGCATATTATTAGAGGAAATATCACAAGTGCATGAGTCCATCCATGTCTCACCAGGTCATCAGATGTGCACTTCTGGTGTGAGACAAACAGCCAAACACAATTTTGTTTTTGGACACGACTGCTCTCTGGAGCCTAGAAGGGGAAAAAAAAAACAGATGGGGAACTCAGGTGGGATTTTAAAAACCAGACCAACACGGACACACTAGACGACTGCTGCTGGATGACGCTGAAGTTAGCTTCTGATCCGGCAGCCAAGGGGAAAGTTAAGGGAAACTCAGATCAAAAACCACTATGCCTAGAGTTGTCAGAGGATAAAGTTTCTTTAAAACATAGTTTCAGATTTGTGACACCATGAAAATGAAAACACAAACTGGGATTTATTTGGTCTACCTGTAAAAAAAACAAACCAAAAAAATACATATACGTCGCCCTTTTTTACATTTTCACAAATAAAATAAAAGGTTTCGCAAATCTGACACTGTGTTTTAAAGAAACTTTATCCTCTCTGAAATAATCTAGTCCAGATTTGACATCTCTGGTTATAGTGCTTTTTGATCTGGACCCGGTTTAATGTGCTCTAAATGCAACATACATTAATAAATAAACAAATGTGGACCCCTGTTTTAAAGAAATTTTCTGAAATAATCTGGATCCAGATCCAAAAAAAAAATCCAGATTTGCCAGCTCTTGGCACAGTGGACCTGCTGAATCAGAAGCTAACTTCAGCTTCATGCACCAAGTTATTCTGTAAATGTCTTTATTTTTATTAAGGCACACAAAATTCAGGTGGCAGGTGACTATTCAAAATATAAAGGAATACAATGAAATAATCAGCAGCTTGTTTGTTTTTATACCTTAAGGGACTTTTTATTTTTTAGACAACGCACATTTGGTTTCCCTTTATTTACATAGCATGTTTTCTTATTGTGCAAATGAAGCTTTCTGCGTTCTCAAATCATTTCATGTTGTTATCTTTCAGGAAACTTAACATAAAAGTGTTGGAGACATGTCCCCAGTGTCTGCGCTCCTCACCCCATCGATGAGGAGGATTCTCCCAGAGCAGGAGCTGGTGGTGAAGTACTCCTCGCAGCTGTTGAGCAGAGACACTACATGTTCAATGTCTTCATCCACACTGCCCTTCTTACTCAGGTCCAGCTTGTTCAGACTCTGCTTCTTCCAGTGGCTGAACGTTTGATCCATAGCTCCTCACTTAGCTTTAACGTGGCTGCACGTGCTCCAGCTGTTCAGCGTGAGCTCATCTCCTCAGAGACGCAAGCGAGGGGGACGCTGAAAAGTATCTGTAGCCCGTGCACCACTTCATAAAATAAAGTCCTGCTACCACATTCACGGATGTGTTCGTTGTTTCTTCTTGTGCAAAATGGTGGCCGAGATGCGAGCCATCAGCAGACACCGCCTCCTGCTGCACCGGAGGTGAGAAACACGCTCCTCTTCTTCTTCTTCTTTGTCTGGCAGATTGCAACCATTACTTTTAAAGGTGCACATCTACTGTGCCGGAGGATGCAGCATGAACTATGAACTACTTTGCTGGGACTAAATTATATCATCAAAAATAAATAAATAAATAAATAGATAAACAAATAATCATAAGCAAAACAAACAAACAAATAAATAAATCCTAGCTTTATTGGCAAGACGTTTTAGTTCAAACATGTTGCCAAAGCAGAAAGTCACATATAAACAATAAAATAAAATTAAACAACAATAATAATCATTGTGATCTCAGATCGGCTGTTGAATAGGACGATTTGGAATTCATTATGCAGATATCCTGCTGTTGGTTTATAAAGCACTGAACGGTTTACGGCCAAAATACATTTCTGATCTTCTGCTTCGTTATGAATCATCCAGACCTCTGGGGTCGTCTGGGATCAGATCTGCTTTCTTTCCCCAGAGTCAAAACTAAACGAGGAGAAACAGCGTTTAGTTTTTATGCTCCGTATATCTGTAACAAACTCCCAGAAAATTGCAGGTCTGATAAAACTGTCATTTATTTAAAAAAGACTGCAGACTTTTCTTTTTACCACTACCTTTAACTAGTAGATTGATAACTTACACTGCACTGTAACTTTTACTGTACTGTTTTCTTTGTCTTTGTTTTTAGATATTAACACTATTTAAAAAGCTTAGAGTGCTCTTTTGATTCTACCGTCGCACACGGCTGATCGTCAGTTAACGGAGCTGAGTAGAATTACAAGGATTAGAGTCCCTGTTTTGTCCACTGTTAACTTGTTGACAGGGCCCGCTGTCAACCGCTTTTTCCAGAGTTTGTAGCGTGGACAATTTGGATTTACAGAGACGACTGTATCTAAAGAATAAGGGTTAGAGTCCCCTTAGAGTCACTAAGCGTTAAAGGGTTAGAGTCCTCTTAGAGTTAGAGTCACTAAAAGTTAAAGGGTTAGAGTCCCCTTAGGGTAAGAGTCACTAAGCGTTAAAGGGTTAGAGTCCTCTTAGAGTTAGAGTCACTAAAAGTTAAAGGGTTAGAGTCCCCTTAGGGTAAGAGTCACTAAGCGTTAAAGGGTTAGAGTCCTCTTAGAGTTAGAGTCCCTAAAAGTTAAAGGGTTAGAGTCACTAAGTGTGAAAAAAAGGGGTATAGAGTGGGAGATGGGGAATCAAAGGAGTAAAATAAGCAAAAGTGGAAGACCTGCCTGTTATTTTTTTTGTATTTAACTTTTTAAACTGTTTTATATTTCCCTGTTGCTTTTATGTTTTATGTAAAGCACTTTGAATTACCTTGTTGTTGAAATGTGCTATACAAATAAACTTGCCTTTGCCTTATAGCAGAGGTGGGACCAGGTCATGTCTCAAGTCGAGACAGACAAGTCCCAAATCAAGTCCTTAACTTTGAGTTTCAATTTAAAAATTAAAAAACCTTTATTGAATAAAGTGTTAACCTGGACAGAAAAAAGGCAGTGGAGCAGTTTCACATAACAAATGTCATAAATTAAATAAGGTATTTCATGTCAATTCATTTCAAATGGGGCCTTATTGACAAGGAGAAACAGACGTTTACATTGCCAAAGTGTGAAAAAATTACCTAAACAGAAGAATAGTGATTTCGCTATTAGATCATGATCCGTGTCCAAGCGGTTGCCCGAGCCCCTAGTCTTTGAGTACCAGCCACTAACTCCATATTTAACAGATAAAGATACTTGATGATGTTTTGGTATGAATGTCATATGTTGGTTGACAGAAAAATTACTTTGCAACTATTTTAACCATTTATATGATTTTACATGCAAAAATATTTCATAGTTCCAGCTTCACAAATGTGAAGATTTGCTGCTTTTCCTTGTAATTATTTTAATTATTTGAACGTAGTGTTAATAATGTTGAGGTTTGTAATGTTGGTTGGACAAAACAAGGTGCCAAAACAACTGCACCAGAGCTGGCTAACAGCTAATTTGCATCTGTTGTCCCTGGGCAGGTAGACAAAACAAAACAAAAGACACAAAGCAACCACTAAACAACAAATACACTACATAAAATTACAAAATACGCATTATCCATCAATTCAAAATTGATAAAAACTGTTTGATATATACACCATAAATGGGAAAAACACTAAAACGTCATGCCAATAAAGCCAAACGAGAGTGAAAGACAGAGGAAGAGAAAGAGAGAGAGCGAGAGAGAGAGCAGTATCCCCTATTGGAGTGGCATGGTTTTGCTGGCCCAGAATCTATAAGTGACAGCAGTGTGGAGAACAGTATTCGGATAAAAACGGGTGAAGCAGGCCAGAATACAGAGACACAGTACAAGTACAAGATGTCTGCCATGATGACATTATGAGGATCAGACCCCAGGTCAGTCTCTTCTCTTGCTCCATTTACATGTTATGTCACATATAATGTGTGAAAGAGCCGAATAAGCTTCAGTTCCTGTATAGATCACTGACATGATGAATAGCTCGCAGTAATGTGATGTTAAGTGTCAGGGGGCTGAAATGCAGAGGTGGACAAAGTATTCAGATCCTTTACTTAAGTAAAAGTACTAATACCACACTGTAAAAATACTCTGTTACAAGTAAAAGTCACTGAAAATGTTAAAATATAATCAGGAAAATGTACTTAATGTATTAAAAGTACACAATGCAGTAAAATGTTATACTAGTAAATATTATATCATTAGAGTATTATTACTCATGCATTCATGTAAAAGCAGGATTTTTTCTGCTGTATTTCCTTTATGAATTATCTGCTGATGATTTTCTCCATGAATTGATTGCTTCTAAAAATTCTGAAATTAGTGAGAAATGCCCTCACAGTTATCCAGAGCCCAGAGTGACACCTTCAAAATGCTTTGTTTTGTCCGACCAACAGTCCAAATCTTGACATTATTAACAAACATTTAAATTATTAAAATAATTAAAAGAAAAGCAACAAGTCTTCACATGTGTGAAGCTGGAACCATCAAATTTACTAAAACGATCAAAATAGTCTCCAATAAATGTTCTGTCAACAGACTAATCGTTTCAGCTGTACTTGTTTAAACTGTTGGGTAGTTTAATTTATAATAAAACTTTATATTTTATTAATTCTTCATATGTTTTGTGTATAAAAATCTTAATTTGTAAAGTAACTAAAGTTGTAAGATAAATGTAATAAAGTAAAAACTGCAATATCTCCCTCTGAGATGTAGTTGTGTAGAAGTAGAAAGTGGCATGAAAAGACAATACTCAAGTAAAGTACAAGTACATTAAATTTGTAAAAGTATGGTAAATGCACTTAGTTACTGTCCACCACTGCTCTAACATGAGTCAAAGCAAGACGAAGCAAATCCCAGCAGGCTGATAAAAAAATACTAGAAGAAGCTTCTCTCACGATTCCTCAGTAATTGTGTTGAAAGTATAACGAACGCTGCCCCCACACTGAATCGAATACACTAACCCCAGGCGCTATAAATACAGCCGATACATATAATACTCATGTATTATGTATTGCATTGTACACAGTTTACAAGCAGTCCTACTAGCAGTGATTTGTACTTCACCTCAATAGTGTATATATGGCATTAAGGCTGTACTTTCACACTCTAAATAAAAAAATTCTGTCCTTGTGTATAATTTGTTTGATGGGTTATTAAGGGCAGATCTTTTTGGACAGCAGGTGCCAACACTTTACTCAGATTGGGCTGAAATTGTACTTTCAATAACATAATACATATATTGTAACAGTTTATGGCTTTAGATATTAAAACTGAGAAAGGTGTTCAGTGTTTCCCTCAGAACTTTATTCCTGTCAGTGTGGAAAAGGTTCTGAAACCTCGTGAAAGATGTTTCATTGGAATCACATCAGGTTAAAGGATAAGATCGGCGTTTTTACTTCAGTTTTATATTGCAAAACTTTACTTTACCTTACCACTCGTTCACAAACTGTCCGACTCACAGCGCAAGAGTGACTTGATTGCTACCATGCGGGTGCTGGTGTCGCATCAGCTGGGCGAAGTTTTTCGTGCACGGACTCGACGTTATCAGTTATCCATTTGTTTTTCAATGCTGCTCCACTCTGGTGCACTGCATGCTTTTCTTTTCTTTTTGTAAGTAGCGAGAGTCTTATTATTATGAGTAATTATTTGGAGATTTGAAATATTCAAGAAAATATATACATAAGTACCTACAAAACCTACATAAATACAGTACACCGTTACTTAAACCTCTAGTTTTTAATAGAGGAGCTCTATTGCACAGATGATTAAGATATATCAGGCTTACACAGTACATTTTAAATCATGTGACACATGTGTAATCATTGTTAAGATCATTGTTAAGTGCCTCTATGATATGTCTGTTGACAACTGACCACATGTAGAAACTCTGTTAACACACAGTTACATCAAAGAGAATTCAATCATGTTATCTTTTTGCAAAACACAGACAACATGGTTCATATCTTCCTGCTGGTGTAAAGCCTGGCGCTTTGTTGTTACTTGCCAAAAGGAATTTATTCAAATGTGATGAATAATTTATACAATTAGGAAGTGTTTCTCCCCCTTCCCCACACACACCGACATTTGTCAACAATTAGTCACGCAGTTGTTCTACACTCTGTTTAATGTTGCCCAACACGGGAGTTGCTATTCCATCACATATTAAAAGGCATTAAAGGTGACTGAAGTAACACGCTACTGTTACTAGTACTCTTACTACCATTGTGCGACTATTATATATGATCTATATGCGTACAGAGAGACTGTCCTCACCAGAAAAACACCCATATAGGTTGTTTGTTAAGTTATTGCGACCCATATTTATATTATTGTGGCATCCACCTCTAATGACTGTACAAGGGTAGCAGAGGAGGAAGTCTTCTTATAAATACAGATGTTGTTTCTCAACACTGAGTTCGCCAAATTCGGACTTCTGTACTTGCAAGCTCGGACTCTGCAAGTTCGGCTCGGGAGTACAAACTTCCAGGGACAATCGCACGCAATCCGCCATTCT